GTGTCCCCCTTGTCCCATAAGCCTAGCCCTCTCTACCATAATACACATAAAAGGGTTAGTACAGAGTGCGTCATAAATTTACAATACATTAAATATCAACAGTGAAAGTTTGGAGCCAGTCAGAAGAGTCATTCACGAGTAATCACAAAGAAACTACTATATTGATTTCTTCAATAACAATAAAAATTGTTACCAACATTGTCTAAAATAAATTCGAACCTTCCACTACAACCTAAAACATATAAAGATTTAATGACAAACACAAGAGGCTTTCTCTACTTATCGCACAGAGAGAACACTATCCCAAACTACACTAGTGCCTCAAGTTTCAAGCCGGTCGGAAGATGCATTGTGAAATTATCGGATGAGGTAATCACAGATAATTGCATGAGATCACAGATTATCGTATGAGATCACAGATTATTACATGAGATCACAGATTATCGTATATGATCACAGATTATCGCATATGATCACAAATTATCGCATGAGATCCCAGATTATCGCACGAGACTCGGTACTCATATTTTCCCAATTCTTCGGCACCTTCGGAAAACTGGTACCAACGTAGCTCAGCGAAGGAAAATTAAAATACTCTGAGCGAGCTCTCGTATGTTAGATGGAGTTACTGAATATTTGAGAAGGGATTACCAGCAAGTCCGTCTCTCAGATGAGCTTTTGTTTCAACCACTCGGAATTTTTTTTTTTCGACTTTAAAGAAAAAAACGGAATGAGAATTAGACTTCCTACAACGGACCCTCCTATAATGGGTCATCCTACAAGGGAGCATCGTCAAGTATTCTTTTAGAGGTTCATCAGCTACGGCAGCTTCAAAGGTTGCGTTGCAGCAGAGCTGGAGGTACTGTCACTTGGGAAATGTCATCTCTCAGGATAGCCTATCATTACCAAAAGTGTGAGGGTGGGTAGCCAGTCTTCCTTAAGAGGAGAGTAGGAGGGAAAAGATTTGATGAGAGGAGGAGGAGTACTATCCGTGTCTTCCATGACACCCTCTCACTTGGCCAAATAATATTCTGTCTATTGGATATAATCATGACCATAATTTTTAAACGGGTGAAAGGGTAAGCCAGCGGAAGGCCTCAGTCAGATGACCAAAGGCTCCTGACACTGAGACCCGTGCCAGGAAACACTTGTCCTGTTTCGTGACACACCTTACCTAACCTTGGGCAACCAGAGAAGAATAAAGAATCCCAAATGTTGCCCAATTGTTACATATAGAAATAAAGATTATTATATTATTATTATTATTATTTATTATTATTATTATTGCTATTATTTATACAAACACCCTCTCAGGCTAACCAGCATGGTGAGCCCTTCTGTCAATGTACTGTGTACTGTGTTTAGTGTAGTGTGCATGCTTCCCTGATAGTGGCCAATATGGCCTACGGCTTACCTGCTTAGTATGAACCACCTCACCCCATCCCCCAAGGGATGTCAACCTCGACGCTGACCCTAGTGACCAGACTATCCCTCCACATCGCTCTCACCTCCCTCACCTTGAGGCTTCCCTCCAGTCCACCTCCACACACATTATTCCTCTCTACCCAATTAACACAAGCTCGTTAGACAAACCGAGGGAAGGCAGACGTTGCAGCTAGCCAGTCACAAAGCCAGGAAAATCATGCATCTTACACCATGAGACGAGAGACATGTAAAATGAAGAATTAAACACATGTGCAAACATCTGGGGAATTTTTACTTGTAGACGTTTCGCCATCCAGTTGTTTTATTAGTACAATATATAAGGATAAACCGAAGACTGTAGAAATATAAACAGCAGGCAATAGAAGAAGTTGTCAATCCCAGCCCTAGGAGCAAGTGATGAGCACCGTAGGTGCTCTACAGATAATGGCCATGTATTTCACTGACAAAGCCACTGGATGGAGAAACGTCTACAAGATACCCAGATGTTGCCCACGTGTCTAATTCATCATCTTGTCGGCCGTATTGTATGCTATCAATATACCTCATGTAAGGTATGTGGAGAATATCGTGATCGTATAATAATAATAATAATAATGTTCGCTCACACAGCAGGTGTGCTGGGTCACACGTGTCCTCCGCCAAGAGCAGCCCACAGCTCTTACACTCAGCTGGAGGATCCACAGGAACTCTATTCATTTACGATCATATCGTCTGTTAACAGGACCCTATATCACATCCCAGAAGCTTGTCTTTTGAATGCTGCAGGGTAAATCACAGATTATCTCAGGCAATTAAATGAAGGGACCAGAAACTCAGAAGCCCGAGGCGCCGTTAGGGTATGGCACACACTGCTTTGGCTCCTTTTGTCTAGCAATACCTGCGAGAGGCGGCAAATCGCTAGCCTCGTCAGTCATAAAAGCAATAACTTTCCTTGAGCGGATAACTTGATCCATCTGTCCCATCAACGAACGAATCGCAGAGGCAGACCCAAGAAGAGCCTCGCAGATAACGAGAAAGTTTGAGCGCAAGCAAAAAAAAAAAAAGAAAACAACAGAGATGCAGCAATCAGAATACTTAGCAGCCAAAGTTACAATTGTCCTCCCAGCCTGAGCTCATACTAATAAACAATTCTACCGATGACCTCAATCCAAGGCTGATTCGTTTTGCCAAGAGTCAGATGATCATACAACGACTGTCATCATCCTCATGTTCTGAGGGAAGTTACACTGGGATACCACCATAACACCAAAGAGGTTAATCCACTGCTTGCTGCACTCGGAGAGATCCTAATTTTGAAGATAACTGTGGTCAACAACTGTCATGCTAGACTGATACCTAAAGAAATTAAAGCTTTTTTTCTTTGATGCAAACTTACGAGTGTCTTGAAAAAGAAAGTCTGGGCAATTAGGCCTATCTGCGTTGGTAATCTCCAGTTAACAGTTTCGCTGCCAAAGTTGCAGGCAGAACAGAAGCTACCATCTTCTGTGTAAGGGGAGATAGAGAAAGAGAGAGAGAGAAAAGAGAGAGAGAGAGAGAGAGAGAGAGAGAGAGAGAGAGAGAGAGAGAGAGAGAGAGAGAGAGAGAGAGAGAGAGAGAGAGAGAGAGAGAGAATAATGGGTGAGCGCTAAACCTGTAGGATTATACAGCGCATGTAAGGGGGATGGAAGGTATTCAGGCTCAATTCAGGGAACTGAAGCACAGATCTAATTCCCTAGATCAAGAGCCCCTCGCCAGCGTCAAGGAACCTCCCTTGAGGGGAGAGAGAGAGAGAGAGAGAGAGAGAGAGAGTTTTGTGTACTCACCTATACGTGGTTGCACGGGCCAGTTCTCAGCTTCTTGCCCTTCCGCTTTTCCACCGGGTACTAAGTTCACTCCTGAGTTAGAGAACCTTGTAGTACCTTCCCTAGTTTTAGGGAAAGGTACGATAAGGCTCTCAAAGTGTGTGTGTGTGTGGTGTTGTGTGTGTGTGTGTGTGTACTCACCTAACTGTGGTTGCAGGGGTCGAGACTCAGCTCGTATGCTGTGTGTGTGTGTGTGTGTGTGTTGTGTGTGTAGTGTTGTGTGTGTGTGTGTGTGTGTGTGTGTGTGTGTGTGTGTGCGTGTATTTGTATTTGTCAGATGTTAAGGTTCAAAACTTATTGAATTTAAATATTTAACCACTTCTGGGGTTAAAGTCAACTCAGAGTGAAAACAGTTCCTCCACGACTATAAACTCTGTGTATCACTAGGCACTGTGGTTGACTGGCCTGTTAAGGTTCAACCCTGTTGACTGCAGGAGGGTCATTAAGGCTGTTTGTCACCTGTACACCACCAGACAAGAATACTCTGATCCCTAGAGATTATATCCACTAGTGTGTATACATGCTAGTGTATATAGGTTAATTAGTATATATACACTAGGATACATACACTAATCCATGTATATATAACAGTGTTTACATCGATGTATTTCTTGCGTGAGATGTAGGAGAGTAACTCATCCAGTAAACTACCTCAGTAATAATAATAATAATAATAATAATAATAATAATAATAATAATAATAATAATAATAATAAATAATAATCTTTATTTCTACAAGTACATGATATAACTTACACAGACCATAGATGACATCAGTGACACACTATATAGAAATCCCCTTGTTATGCAGAGCATCTCGTACTAATTAATCTTATCCCATAGATGCGACCCACAACAGTCAGCTAACACCCAGGTACCTATTTACTGCTAGGTGAACATGGACAGCAGGTGTCTCAAGGAAACACGCCCTAGTGCTTCCACCCGTACCGGGAATCGAACCACGGGCCTCAGTGTGTGAGTTGAGTGCACTACCAACCGAGCTACGTGTTTCACTCAGTGGATTCAGTTGCTTGAGTGATTGTACAAGTTCTTAAAATCTTGGAACTACAATCAGTAAAAAATAATCCTCTCGAAGGTAATTAAAATCCAATTATTTAAACCTGTGGTCTTTATAGTTGTTTGTTGCCTTAAAATAACACATTTAAATACTCAGTGGCGTAACAAACTGAAAAAATGGCCAGGAGCCATTGTTATTATTATTATTATTATTATTATTATTATTATTATTATTATTATTATTATTATTTGCATTATTATTAATATTATTATTAGTAGTAGTACTATTAGTAATTGTAGTAAAAGTAGCAGTGGTAGTAGTAGTAGTAGTAGTAGCAGTAGCTGTTGTCGTCGCAGTAGTAGGAATAGTAGTAACAGTAATAATAGCAGTAGTATAATTAGTAATAGTACTAGTATCATATGTAGTAGTACTAGCATTTTTATATTATTTATTATAATCTTCATGAGGTAAACACTAAACCCGTAGTGTCCATGCAAGGGCCTCTATGTTGAAAGGTCGTAACAGCTCAGGCTTGAAATTCGCTCTCTCTCTCTCTCTCTCTCTCTCTCTCTCTCTTCTCTCTCTCTCTCTCTCTCCTCTCTCTCTCTCTCTCTCTCTCTCTCTCTCTCTCTCTCTCTCTCTCCCTCTCTCTCTCTCCGGTTATTAATGTCTTTTTCATTTTCTCCCTGTGATAGACGAGGAGCCGAGAGCCATGCATGACGACCGTGGTTCTTCACCCAGTCGTCACGACCTCTCCGTCCTGATGCTGGGTCTCCTGCTCACACATAGGCTGAGATGATGATGCTGAGATGATGATGATGATGATGATGATGATGATGATGATGATGATGATGATGATGATGGTGGTGGTGTTGGTACCACCACAATCACCACCACTACTACAGCAGCCGCTACCACCACCACTGCTACCACTACTACAACCATTACCACAATTATTGAAACAACAATAGCTAACCGCTACTTATGCAACCACTAGTACTACCACTGTAAAAGCTACAACACCCACTACTACTGAAGCGACAACCACTATTATTACTGCTACATCCACCACCACTAAAACAACAACCACTACCAATAACTACAACCACCACTAAAGCAACAAGTACTAAAAACGACAACCCCATCACTACTGCAACTACCCCCTACTGTAACCACCACCACCACTAAAGCAATAACAACCACCACTACTGAAATGACTACACACATCATCACTACTTCCACCACTATTACCTCTGAAACTACCACTACCGAAACACCAACAACTATTACTAAACTAAACAACAACATACCCAACACCATCAACAACAACCACCACCACCGAAACGACAGTATCAACATTACTACGGCAACCACACCTACACTACTACTAACAAGACAACAAGAACAACAACCACAGCTGCTGCTGCTACAACCACCACTTCCATGATCGCTAACATCTCTACAAATACTGCCTCTATTGCTACAACAACCACCATAGCCCTCATTATTACTACAACCCCCCCTCACTCACAAATGTTATTAAAACCACTACCACGATAGCAGCAGGAACACCTTCACTACCACCATTACTACTACACCTGCGACTACTGCCGGCAATCCCCACCACTATTACTACTATTACTCTACTACTACCATCATCCCCATCAACTCCATCACTACCACCCCGGTCACTACAGTCACTAAGAACATTTTATCAACAATTCCACCCCATTTCCTATACATTAACTAGAAGAACAAACGGCGTTCCCCAGGGCCGAGAGCAAGGATCAACACAGCTTGTTACTGACCTGCTGACAACGAAAAATAGCTAAAATCATGACAGTTTTAATGGTAACGTCTTCCTTCAGATAAAAGGTATTGTCCCATCCCCGCAAATTCCATATAAATTTGCTCAATTCTAAATGACTGTGCTCAATTTTCTCTTAAAATGCACCTAAGCGATCACATTGGGTTTAAAATTTGATCATTTATGCTTCAATATAAATTTAATTCAGTTATTCATGTTTTTATAAGCTAAAAATTTGGATACGAGTTGCCAGAAAATTTCTCGATTTACATTACTGGACAGTTCTCTATCAATAGAAAAAATTATCAATAGTAACACACCACAAAGGCAATAAATGAAATATAAGATAAAGGAGAATAAAAAAAGACATGACGAGCAAATAGAAAACTGGAAACAATCGGGCGCAGCAGAAAATCACTGTTTAAGACTGGTAAAACAGTCACTCATTTTGACTGTCTTAAGTAACAGTGAAATACTGAGGGTACACAGTGCAGATACACTGATGAACGGAGACATGTGCAACACCTGGCTATGTTGAAAGAGAGACGCTTCGACCGCCCAGAGATTTATCATTTGTTTGCTAAGCCCCCTGGTATTCGAGACGTCTCCAAGGATTTAAAAACACGGGAATTAGTATTAAAGCATAAGAAGGCACGATACCGTGACTAGAGCAATATCATTAATGGTCCAAGTTGGACGAAAATGTCGTCATAAATTTCAGTCTTCTTTGTGCTGATAATCTGTGTAATAAACACTAAGATATACCAAAAAACGTTTTCGTCATGAGACCCTTAACACTTCCAAGTGATCAAGGCCGCAGACCGAAAGTTTTCTAACATACATTAGTTTCTGTTCATGTTCCGTTTTAAATTACTTGTTGGTATCAATGATCAAGATTCATACGAAACTTCTTATTCATCAATAAAGACACTCAGGTGTTGCACATGTGTCTTATTCATCAATAAAGACACCCAGGTGTTGCACATGTGTCTTATTCATCAATAAAGACACCCAGGTGTTGCACATGTGTCTTATTCATCAATAAAGACACCCAGGTGTTGCACATGCCTTATTCATCTACCGGTGGCTTCTGCGTTCCATTAAATTAATGGAAATAAATAATATAATAGGGAATAAAGAATATAATGGGAAATAATGAATATAATGGATTAAAGAAATATAATAGGAGAAAAGAATGTATGACTTTTCAACCCATCAAGTCCCTCTTGCTTTGCAAACTCTTCGACTGGATCTTTATGGGTCCTGACATAAGGAATAAAAGTCATAACAACATGGCTAAAACGTAGTAAGAACCGTAATAAGATGTAGTAAGAACCGACTCCAAGTAAATTAAACGGAAATATAAAAAGGCAAGTCAAAGAGCTAGAGACAATATACTAAACAACGTCAGCTTTGGAGAGAAACTTCATGACGATGTTACGGTTCTTCCTGGAAAAGAAGAGAGGGCTGGAAGGGGTTGTTGACACTCTTAGGTCAGTCGCACCTCTCCTACGGTCGTCACTCCGCCTATACAGTCCTAAGTTTCCCAGGTATTCTGTACGGACTTGAAAAAGATTGGCCATATAGTGCAGCGTTGAAGTATTGCGTAGGCGACGAAGGGGTAAAAAGGACACTTGATATAGTCTCATAGAGGTGAAACATCGTATTAATAAAGATCTCCTTTTGTTGAATCTTTTCTTTACGAAGCGAAACGTGGTCTTAACAAGAGATCCATTCTGCCTTTGTGTCTCCGTTTTGCACCTTGTTGGCATGTTTTTCCATCTGTGCTAAACATAACATCTTCAGCGCACTTCCTGGCCCAACAGGCAAGCCCAGGTATCAGAAATCTAAACCAAAGTTACACTGAAGACCTTCCCTGACTACGCAGCGCCAGTGAGGAGCCCTCACAGTCGCAAATTTTATTTTTAATTAAATCCAAAGGTATTCACCTAGACTGATGACTGAGACGAGAAGAATAAGATACGAAGGGAAAAAGTGTGAGAGCTAAATAGTTTTCCTAGGAAAAATTGATCTTCTGTTTTTTTTTTTTTTTATGTAAAGCACTACGCTCATGCGGGTCAAACAAACCGTGGAACGGGTGGGGTTTGAACAAATGTTTGAAACTGAGTTATTACTATTTCGTGACTCGTGTGAGTTATTATACACTGAGTGGTGGAGGTTCCATCTTCCTTCCGCTAATCGCGAGACAGACATACTACCCAAGTATACAGTCGCCTTCTACTTCGTGGAGGAAAGGAAAAGTGAGGGGATATGATCAGATCGTACAAAATACAATGAACACATAGTTTACAAAGACAAGGCATCAACAAGGACGTAGCAAGAACAGACTCTAAGCAAATTAAACGGAAAGATAAAAAAGGCGGGTCAAAGAGCTAGAGATCAACCAACCAAAACTGACACAGCTAATTACAAACTGAACTAATAATACATGAAAGGATTTACTAGCAAGTGGTTACAAATGAGTACTAATTCGACACGACTCAGCAAGACAAAGTACACATTGTATACTCAAGATATTCACATTATATACACACATACATACTGCATACACAGACATATGATATTATATATATATATATAATATATATTATATATATATATATATATTATATAATATATATATTATATATATATATATATATATTATTATATATATATATATATATATTTATATATGGTTGGTAGATACATAGTGTAGTATACACAGGATATACACATGATACAAACATGAACTAGACATGTAAGGGTGTGATGAGTGAGGACCACATACCAAACACAACATTCAGGGACCATCAACTATCATGATAATGTTTTCTCGTATCAAATCATTTATAATGCTACTCATACACCTACAAATCAGATTTATGTTTGTATAAAAAATATATGTACGTATGCGTGTGCGTATGTATTCGTGTGTATATGCATTTGAATGGATATATATATATATATATATATATATATATATATATATATATATATATTATATATATATATATATATATATATATATATATATATATATATATATATATATTATATATATATATATATATATATATATATATATATATATATATATATATATATATATAATTTGTGCATTTACATAAGCATTTATTTACTATATACAACACTACTGTAAATAAACAATTATCCAGTGTAAATAAATTGGATAAAATCAGAATTCTGTAAAAACATCATCATCTCTCCCTCTCTCTCTGTACTATCAAGAATTTTAATAAACTTTTAATCCAAATATGTGTGTAAATTATTTTTTTTCCATAATTTTCATGCTGTGTGAGTATACAAAAGGGGTTAACAATTTTGCAAAAAAAAAAATTGAAGTCGTTTAGAAAATATGGAATAAAGTATCTTAGAGAAAATATAGAATAAAGTATCTTAGAGAAAATATAGAATAAAGTATCTTAGAGAAAATATAGAATAAAGTATCTTAGAGAAAATATAGAATAAAGTATCTTAGAGAAAATATAGAATAAAGTATCTTAGAAAAATGAATAATATCAGGAATATAAATAAGTATCTTAGAGAAAATACTAGAATAAAGTATCTTAGAGAAAAAAATAAATATTAGAATTGAAAAGTATCTTAGAGAAAATATAGAATAAAAGTATCTTAGAGAAAATACATAGAATTAAAAATATATGTAGAGAAAATATAGAACAAAGTGTTTAGAGAAAATATAGAATAAAGTATCTTAGAGAAAATATAGAATAAAGTATCATAGAGAAAATATAGAACAAAGTGTTTTAGAGAAAATATAGAATAAAGTATCTTAGAGAAAATATAGAATAAAGTATCTTAGAGAAAATATAGAATAAAGTATCATAGAGAAAATATAGAACAAAGTGTTTTAGAGAAAATATAGAATAAAGTATCTTAGAGAAAATATAGAATAAAGTATCATAGAGAAAATATAGAACAAAGTGTTTTAGAGAAAATATAGAATAAAGTAATCTTAGAGAAAATAAAGAATAAAGTATTTTCACCAGCTGTTCTGTGTGGTGATTCCAGCCTCTGAGGAGGCGCCTTGATGCTAGTGAAAGGGTGTTGATCCAAGGAATTGGAGCCACCCCTCTATCCTTTAGGTAAAACTTGATTACAAAATTTGATTGCTCTCCCAGCTCTCCGTAGCGTGGTTCGTGGATTCCGTTCCGTCCTTGGAAGCTACGTTAGATCTCGTTTCGGTCCTTGGGAGGCTCAGAAAGACTCGGTTCGGTCCGTGAGAGGTTCATAAAGACTTCCTACTGTCCGTGATTAGTTCACAAGGACTCGCTACCGTCCTTGAGAGGTTTATAAAGACTTGCTACTGTCCGTGAGAGGTTTATAAAGACTCGCTACCGTCCGTGAGAGATTTATAAAATCTCGCTACTTCCTGTGGGTGGTTCGTAAGAGCTCGCTGCTGTCCGTGGGAGGTCCGTAAAGGCTCCAGCTGCTTTACACAGGT